CTGTCAGCGTGGGAGTTGTATCCCAAACAATCCTGTGGTTTGTTATCTGGTTAGAGTTTTATGACGCTAGCACCTGCATAAGGCTTAAGGTCGTATGAGTGTGGGTTTGCTGCGACACGCATAGACGAAGGAGTTCACCTGCAAGTTGATCTAAACAATGCCAATGGTGGTAAATAATATAATGAACGCCATTAAAAACGTAACACTTTGTCGACACATGCTGTACACGTGTTTGTGGAATGAAGATTGATGAGAAGAAGTTTTTTTTTTAAGTTTATTATTTTTAAAACTCATGTAAACCATTTTGATAGCATACTTCAACTGATTTCAATCAACGGTCTTCCTCCTTTGGGAGTGCCCCCTTTAAACAAATTTGAAGATAAGCACAAATTGAAATGTAATGACAAAAGATCTCTCAACTTTTGTTATTTGAATGACTCAATTAGTTTTGTACGGACCAAGACGTCTTCTTGTGAATCGTGTAACATGTTCAATGTTTTAATGAGGCATTCAGTCCCACTCTTGCTCTTGCACGCTCTCTGTGGGTGTTCAGGTCATCCGTGATGTGCTCGACTGGAGTCATGTCCAGTGAGCATGCCGGCCTGTCCACGACATTCACGTTATGATTTTCAAGAAACGGTGAAACTGGCGCTCTTATAAATGGGAAAAACTGTCCTGTGATAAAAGTTGACACCAACCCTGACAAAACCACTTACTTAGCCTAATCGGTGGCTTTCCAGGACACAAACATCTGAAAAACTTTCGCCAGATCGTCGTCAAATTCTTTGTCGCACGTCAGCAGCTGATGATAAAAATCTGCTTTGGTCTGTGAACAAATCGCTTTCTCGTTGACGCATTGTATTTCTTTCATACTGTCTCACCCATTGAAGGCGGTGCTGTCATCACACATTCGTTAATGGAAGTCCTTGATAAGGCTGTCTTGGTCCAAGTCCTGCACTTGCTAGACAGCGCTTCACAGTGGTAGAAGAACCATTTCCACGCACTTGTTGGGTACCTTGAGCCGTCACTATTGTAGGAAGAAAAGGATTCAGTTGATGCGACAGAGTAATCTGTCTGTCTGTCTTGAGCAGGGGTGGTGACTCCGGGTTACCCTGTTCTTTTTCTATCGCTGAGATTTCCAGTGTGCTGAAATCTTTGAATAAATCTAGAAACAGCAAAAGCACTGCAATTTAACCGTCTTGCCCCTCCTTGGACAACAGCCTGATGCTCCGCCTTCAACTACGCCGACGCCAAACTTTTGGTCAGATTCGCTGGTGCAACTTGTGTTTTTAAAAAATCGAAATTGAATACTTAAAACACGGGACCTGGTTGGGAATAATATTTGTCATTTTCCAGGAGAAAAAATATTTTTGTCATGAGTACTTTTGCGTCTCGTGAATACTTTTTATCAAATTATTCAAATAATGTGTTACTGTGCTGTTTTGAATAGTACTCTAGGAAATTTTCAAAAAATGTTGCATAGGTAAGCGAACTAACAACCACTCACCTGTGTCTCCAATTTCAAAGATCGTATCCACCAGAGGATATTTGACTCTTTTATAGCCTTCTACAATGTTTCGTTCTTAATGCCGTTCAGTATGATATATTACCAATCACTCTACAATCACCAAAAACAGCATAGGAACCTATTATTTCCCAGTCATGCCTTTTTTAGGTCTTCTTTGTGTATTTGCTCCTGATACGTAATTAAAAATGTGAGATTTAACATCGCCAATACAGGTCGTAACGACAAAGTGATTGCAGCTTTTCAAACTACACTTAAAACTTGCTGACTGACGTACTCAAGACAGTTAATTGTATATCTTTTATTTAGCAAAATTAATACAAACACAAGCGTACACTCGATCACAATTTGTTATGATTTAAATGGGGAAAATAATTACTGATATCATAAAGTAATTATCAACCTTTCAAACTGATTTCGAATTGGCTTTTCTCATTCATGTGGTTGAAATAATGTTTTGTTAGCACCATGAACTCTGTAAGCTTGTTCTTTCTTTGAGTGTCATTCTCCTGGTCAAAAGATGTGTAATGTGCGGTACTTGAATCTTCGAACATTAATAGAGTTTTTGAAACAGTGAATAAGCTGAAATGTCAAAGGATGCGAAAAAAAATTTCGTATAAATATCACAGAGAGGGAGGTTTGGGGGTAAACACACAAACCAATACGTTAAACACAAAAACCAATATCAAAATAATTTTTTTTTAAAGATGTTTCTTTGAGGAAGTGGTGGAGGACTGAAAAACAGCCAGTGTTGATTGGGGAAGGGGTAGGAGGAGAAAAATTAAGATTTAATGTTATCAGATCTGTTGATAACTTATATCCCTACGTGTGTCTTTGCATGAAGGAGCGATACGTGAAAGCATCAACAATAAATTGAAACTACGTAAGTTTCAGGAGAGCATGATACAACATTACTTGTGTGGTTTTCAAATGTGCGTTGTTCTTTGTTACATAGTTTTCGATTAAAACGCGTTACTAAATATTCCTTACAAATAGCGCAATAATACAAATGCTGCCCTAGACTTTAAGACAAACTCCCGCTGCCAATGCATGGAGTGTAATAATAAACAAAAAGAACGGCTCGAAGAGCAGGAAAATAGATGTGTGTCATGGCATTCCAAGGTAAAAGGGTTCTACGAGTCGTACTCAAACAGTTACCAATACCCAGTCAACAGTATAGCAGTTGCCATATGTCAGTCTGCAGTGCATCTGTTAACGAGCCAACGATGCACGTGCTTTGTCTGTTTTATTATCATTATCACAAGCGACTTCCATAAGAATAAATCCAACTATTCAGGTTCCACCAGACAAACTCACTACGGACCCCCCCCCGGCCCCCCTTTTTCTTTCCCACCGCACACTTTGTCAGATGTACGTTATCCCTCTCCCCCCATACCCGAATGTCAAATGTATGGTATTCTCCATACCCTGTCCCCCCGCTCCTCCTCTCGAAGGTCCTCTTCTATTCCTTGAATAACGTAAAGTCAGTCAACAGTACAACAGGAAACGTTTCATAAGTCAGTGGCATATCAGTCAATTAAACAAGACCGTACCCGAGTCAAAACGCTACAGCTCACAATACATCAGTCGACCACATTATAATGTTCCAGTTAACATTAAATCGGTTAACAATACATCCGCCAGCAGTGCTGCAGCTAACAGTGGACACGTCAACGATCTATGTCGTCGAGAGCACCAGTCAACATGCATCAACAACGTTCTTCAGTCAGTACACAAGTTAACAATACCTATCGGAGTACGATATAAGTATTACCCACGGTGTACAGTCACCGTTAAATAACATGGAAAAGACTTCGAGACAAGGAAACATATTGAACACTTTTTTTTTCTTTCTCTCTCTGCCCCCCCCTCTCTCTCTCTCTCTCTCTCTCTCTCTCTCTC